ATGTACAGCCCCAACTCCGACGGTTTCACCGCCTGTGGAGGACTGAACCTTGTAAGGACTTGACTTCATATTTAAGAGCGCACATACCCAGAACTCACCCGTGGAGGCCGGTGCCGCTTAGTCGTTTTAGCAAGGGCCAGGGCCGGGCCTGCACCAGGACCACTCCGGGCGGCCACGATTGCTGGACTTGTGGGTCGGTGGTCCCCCCTCCTCATTTCCAGCCAGCTTAGTGGCCGACGCCGTCGATGGAGACACCCCCTGCCTCAGTGACATTCTGGCACAAGCCCCCTTGACCCCACCTCCCGTCTCCCGCCTCGCCTAAGGCCTGGACTTGGCCAGCCCCGGGGGTAGGACTCGCCCACCCCCCACCCGCACATCTGGAGGCTGGCTAGTATAAAAACAGTTCATCACAATGCACAACTGGAGACTGGCCAGTATACAACAGTCCACCCAGACATCAAACCTCAGCGCAGAAAAAGGTGCGAGGAAAAAAACATAATCTTTCTGTGAAACGCACATGCCCAAGACACAGACCAAAAAAAAACAACCTAACAAATCAAACGCTATAAGTCAGGCGCACCAGGACCTAGCCAAAGTTTTTGTTTTCCCTACTAGGCTATTGGGTTCTATTGGTGTGTCTGGGGGTCTCGTCCAGCCATTTTATAGAGACTGGACCAGGCCTCCAGACAGACCAATAGACCGGGAAAACCATGTGTCCTGGTGGGACTAGGCTTCCTGCTGGAGGAATTCAGGGGGCTCCAGGGGTGTGCTCCACAAGTTCCTATCTACCTGGCCTGGGAAGGGTCTGGCCCAACCATTTTACAGAGGTCATCCCACTACCAAATGACTGGGCCAGACCCCCAGACAGACCAATAGACCAGGAATGCAACAGCCCCCTCTCTTAATGAAAACCCAAAGCAAAACTTTGGCTCCTGGTGGGCCTATGTGAGTTTCTTGTTGGTGGATTTCTGGAGTTTCCATGGAGCTGTACGGGTGTTCGACCCGCCCTGTCTGGTCCAACCATTTCATGGAGGCCATCCCACTATAACATGACTCAACTAGACTTCCAAACAGACAAATAAACTGGGAAAACTATGGTCCCCTCTTTCTCTCTCTCTCTCTCTCTCTCTCTCCCTCCCTCCCTCCCCAAGGAAGACCAAGAGAGGCTTTGGATGGCTTTGGCTAGGTCCTGGTGGGCTATCAGGCTTTCTGCTGGAGGAACTCTGGAGTTTCTCAGGGGTCATCCCCTTACAAAATGCTTGGCCCAGACCCCCAGACAGACCAATAAACTAGGAAAGCAATGGTCCCTTCTTTGAATGAAAGGCCGAAGGAGACTTTGGGTAGGTCGTGGTTGGCCGCCCTCCCTGGCATTTCATAGCCTTCCTCTTCCTTCTCCCATCTTCTCCCCATGTTCCAGCCTCCTCTTCCCGGGTCATTTCCCTTACCATACCCAGCTAGTTCCAGCTAGCCTAGAACCAGGGTTGCACATGGCTCAGCAAACAATGAACCGAAAACAGGCTCAAATTTTTTTGCGTTTCGGACGGGTAGTGTTGGACAACAGCGGCCATCAAGGAATGATTGAGTGGGTTCCCAGGCATTGCGATTTTTCATTTCATTGGAATGTGCAGGGATGCATTTTGTACCCATGAGCAGTCTGAGTTCAGGCGGGTTTGGTGTCACACCCCTCTCTTTAGGGTTGCAGAAGTCAGTTTGCAAAGTCTGTTTGCCAACACGGGCTCCGCAGAACTCAATCACCATCACGTGAAGCAGGACTGACATGGATCAACAACCAATGAAAAAACAACATCCGCATTGCCGATCGGTAGGATTTTATCATGCCGCCTGGGAAAGGCATCAGGCAACACCAGACATCGACAAAAATTGTGGAGCGCTGACGTGTTGCCACCCCTATTATGCAGACGCGTGCACGCAGACACGATATGTTGTCGGCTGGCACGCTGACCTGACCCCCCCAACTTTGCTGAGATGCTGATGTCAAGTCATGCTTGCTCGCGAGTAGCCAAACGGGTTTCCGGAACACGTTCCTTAGTTTGTGTCCGTTCGTAGTTGTCATGTGTGCAATTGTGTGCACACATTCGGGCCGACATACTGCAATGGCACAGCACCTGGTAAAGGGTCTACAGTTGTTGTTTTAGTTGTGATGTTGCGAGTGCTCAAGTGGCTTTTGGCTCTCAGAATGCGTGTGTGTCTGCCAGCCCTCCCCCAATTGCCTCCCAATTGCAACGTTGCCTGATACACACATCCCAGGTTTTGGACCATCATGCAATCGGAAACATCTGGGTGGGGCCGCGTGCAGGCCTGAAACCCACGCTTCGCATACCAACATGTACAGTTCCAGCACGTGTTGACAAGCAACTAGCATGGCAACGTGGCATGGTGATGCACGCGGTGAAGCTCCATTTCGGAAGGCCGGTGGTGTTAATTTCAAGATCCGCACCACCCATTGCAGCGCATTAAATGTTTCGTTTGTATATCGCGAAGAGGCGTTGGGTGGATGGCGTTTACAGCTTTGAAACGCATAGGCGTGCAATGATTTTGTTCAGTTGTGGCACTTGCGCAACGAAAGCCAAGCTTTCATTGTGCCCCGCATGCATCATGCGCCGGCAGGCCAATCATTGTGGGGCAGCCGGGTGGACACATTGTGGCTTGTTTGATCGGCATGGACTACATTTTACGCAGAAAAAACAGTTTCGCCACTGGGCGGCCGTTGTTTGAGGCAGCAGATTCAGCAACACTTGGCTTGTGATGAGGTGTGTGGGTGAATGGGTGTTGCGCGAGGTCGTGCAGTCCAAAATCAGCATGAACGTATGGGACAGTCGCAATTTCTTATGTGTGCCGCTGGCCTGGCATGCAGGCCGCTTCGGCCTGGCACTTGGCTGAGTGCAACGCACCTGAACTTCAAGTCTCAGTAGAGGTGGGGTGTGTGTTTGCTGCCACTGCTACAGCAATTCAACAATGGAGGTTTCAAAGCTTCAAAGTTGAAACACACGGTTTTTGATTTTGAACAGTTCAGATCTTCCCTCTGAACACTTGCCGGTGCCTGATTGGTTACATGCGGCATTACATGCTCCTCTTTTGTGCGGCGCTTGCACGTGCAGGGTTGTGCCACTGCGGCCGTAGCGGCTGGGGCGTGTGGCAGGTGGGCCGAGGCCCGGGGGTGGTAGAACGATTGAACCGACCAGCCTTGAGAGATGGTGAACAAATTGAGGCCCACGACAGATATTCATGGAATCTCTCATGGCCAAGTGCCGTGGAGAAGGTTGTGCACCATTTTGAATCAGAGTCATACTTTTGGACGGAGTGCCCTCGCACAAAAGGTCCTCATTGGGGTTGATTGTTTGGACTTTGGCCACCGACCCAGCCGGGGCTTGATTGTGCAGAATTTCCAACACGTGATGATCAGCAAACACTTTGGTGGAGTTGCCTGCTCACATGAAAAACGGCTGCATTCTATTCTTATTCTATTCACTTGTGTTCAAGCGGGTGTTCAACGTCAGTGGGATTGATCAACGGTCAGGCCGCACACCTTTTGCAGCACGTGCTGTGCCCCAGAGGTCGATCGGTCGGCCCAACCCTTGAGCGGTTGAACCATGTTGAACGGTCTCTGAGTTCTAACACGACGGTGAGCACACCTTAGGCCAAGACCCGGGCACCATCAGCAGAGGCCGGTAGGGTTTGGGGCCGCAATGCCGAAAGAGAACCCCCTAGAGAACTGCGCGGCGAGCGGTTGCATGCCGCAAAGTATCACATCGGAGAACCACACAAGACGCCATGTTGAGAAACACTAGAGGCTCTTGCTTCTTCGCCTTTTCGCCTTCCCGCGCTGAGTGGAAATCAGATTCAAATTCGCCTTGACGAGATGAAGAAACCGTTCTCCCAGTCGCTGAAGCCACGCCATTTTCTGTTGGCAGGAGCTTTTGGCATGCCAATCCCTGCTGGAGCGGCTTGAGGCCCTGCAGCAGCAGCAGGAAACGGGCATAGGCTTGCTGTGTGGACCGTGGCTCGGCGTGGTGGGAAGACAGCCAGACGTCCAAAAGAAGGAACCCCATGTTCCCAGAGGCTGAATGACCAGACTCGGAACCCGAAGCGTGGGACTTGGCAGGTCTCAAAAGGAAAACCAATCCCTTTACCGAGGCATTGAATAATCCTGACAAGTCTCCTCATTGAGGAACCTGGCGCTTGGCGCATATACATCACAGATTGAAGGTCATTCTGAGGGTGTCCTTTGATTGAAGCCTGGCTAGTGAGACTGGTTCCCAACCTGAACCGGTTTCTAGTTTCTAGAGTGGTGGTGCCGTGGTGCCACCTGCTGAGATCATGTACGACAAACATTGTGCCGTGAGCTGCGACGCAGCGACGATCCGTTCGCCCAGCGAGGCTTTGGTGCCCCGAGCCACCGCCCCCCCTTGGCGCTGCCGGCCTCTTGGGCGTCCTGGGCACAGGCCTTGCCTCAGGTGCCCGTCAGGGAACGAGAGGTCGGTGTGCCACAAACGAGTCTGACTAGGGGAGTCGATGCTCAGCATGATCTCATTCTTCGATGCTCAGCGGTTCCTTGGCAACTTGGACATCCTACAATTTGCTTCAGAGGTGGCGGAATATGTCGGGCCCGTCGAAGTGTCGGCAGCCCAAGTGGCAGGGGACAGAAGTTGTACTCGGCACAGCGGTCAGGATTCGTGGACATGGGCATGTCAAAACAAAGGTGGCCACAGGTTCAGTTGGTGAATCAGCTAAGGAACTCTGAAGGATGACATTTTTTTAAACTTCTATTTATTGTGATTTGGTGCAACGAGAGCCATGGCCATGCAACACTAAACATCGTGAAGAAATCAGTGTTGTTTTGCATGCAAAGTGTCGCCCGCATTCGTGCCACAAGCTGAGTCAGTTCAAGACATCACGCGATCACATAATGGATATACAGTGACATACAGATATACAGCTGTGTTCAGAAGGCATGTCAAGGTGAGGTATCCCTTGGTCTGCCGAGTTTTGTTCTTGATCTTTCCACATGATGCCACATGTATCGCTGGAGTCTTCACCTTCCTGGCCGCGCAGAAAAGAAAGCCGCTCGCCATGGACGGGGGCAGCGTGACCGTCAAGGAGGACCCGGTTTGGTCGGTGGGACGACATCGACCGCTTTGGGGATCGGACGCCGAACGCGTTCGACCGGGGTCGCTTTTCGACCGGGGTCGGCCGTCCGGCCAAGCGACCCCAGCCCAGCCAGGTCGGAGCACGCGGGGGTCGGACGCGTCGCCATTCAACTGCTGCAGGAGCAGTTTGTCCGTTTGGAGGTAGAGAGCTGCTACGAGATGTTCCTCGAGGTGGTTTGGCGCCAAGGCTTGGAGGGAAAAGAATCCGCTGATAGTGGAGGCGAGTGGTGGATGTGGAAAGTTCATTCTTTTTTAACGGAGGGGCATGTGCAAGTATGAGTGATGTTTTTGTAATTGCATGTGATTCTGGGTGGGATCATGGTCATGGACAATCCCAATTCGACATTTTACGCGCGAAAGGCCAACAAGTCAGGGCTCCAGCTTCATCAGTAAGAAAGTAGTGGATGGTTCCCCTTTGAGTAAGCAATGGCACGACGGATGACTAAGACGGACCTAGGACGACCCAGTCGCCCGTCCGATACTCAGCGTTTTTCAGCGATTGGCTCGTTCGACCAAGGCGGCGGTTTGGGTGCTCCGCGGATTGTGGAGGAGGGCGAGCCCAGTGGTCGACACTGCGCGCGACGTGTGGGGCTTTGCATTGTGGAGCGGATTCAGGAGGCCTTGAGACGGACACGGACCCGGGTTGAGTTGGTGTATGGCATATGGGAGGTGTAAGTCACGAACCATCTGCCTGATTATATATGATTGCAGTTACTTAGTGCTTTGAACAATCTATTCTGAACAGAAGATGGGGCTGGAAGCTGTGAGCAAAGATGGCAAATTATTATGCAGGGCCATTCATAGCTTTGGCAAGTGTACCTGTGTCGCCTAGTTTTGCTTTCGTGGTTGGTGTCCCAACCGCTTGTCCACTAAGCAGGGTCGTCCAGTAGATAAGGGTGGTGCCAAGTTGTCACTTGAAAGAATGCTCATCGCAACAGCGAGGCAGAGAGAGGGAAGTTCATTGAATATACCATTGACAAGGGGCCTTGGCCTACAAGTTTCCTGGAGCAAGCCGATGCAAGCCGAAGTTGTTGTTTTCATTAGGGGTGAGCCACAGTATCGCATACATGAACAAACAACAACAAGCAGACCAACAAGAGAGCACCAGAAATCACCACCCAAGCGAGCAGAAGAAACTCGAATTTGGCAAGAAATGTTATATAGCGGCAGAAGATGTATCGCTCAAAGGAAATGATTCGCCGCATTATTTTTTTGGGGGGGGTGGAGTGGTGAAATGAAAACATACACCAGACAAGCAAAAACCAAGTGTTCTCCTCATCCCCTGTCTGCGGTTTGGCTGCGCGTTAAGGCTACAACCGCGCTCGTGTGAGCTTTGAGGCGTTGGATGGGGGTACGTTGGTCACGTGGAGGTCGAACTTCACGCAGCTCAGCAGCAGGGTTTCCATCCTCGGGTAAGCATGACTGAACTTACGCACCGTTGGCCGCACTTCTTGTGACAGCCAGGCCCTTCTTTGGCTGTTGGTGGCTCTCGTCTGTGGTGGGCCTCGCTTTCCGGACCATGCTTGGCACCCTAGCGGCTGCTGCTGTAAGCTCCGCACGGTGAAAAAGGGCCGCGAGCGCATGGGGGCATGGCAGGGAAGGTTTCAGGAGGCCTCTTATCTTAACACTCCAACCGAAGGCGACTTCGTGGTTTGATGCACTGAAGTTGTTTGACGATGTGCACCCTGCAACCTTTTAGCTTGGCCATCACGCAATGGAATCAGCCAGACATTGCTCTGCAATGGCCTAGGACAAGAAAAGCGGAAGCTGCGAAAGCATGTGTCTATAAAGGGGATATCCTTAGTTTCAAGAGACCGAAGTGCAAACACTATATAGCTGATATCTGTACTATATACAGTATATATATAGAGATATGTATACATATATACACCACATACATGGTCGTTCCAATTCGCCCATGGCCACTTGGTAGCAAGTGAAAGCGGCTGCTTTGGCGCTGTGCCGGAAGCCAATGGACCAAGAAGGAGAGGAGACCAGTTTTGCATGGTGCATGGAAGCTGGCCATATCAAGCGGATGGAGCTCCATTCTGCCGAGAGGGGCGGGGTGCTGGCACCTTTGACGCTAGAACATCCGAACATTCGAGAGTCTTCCATTGGCCTGTATTTGCCAGGCGGATGCACCTCCCAGGCAGGTGAGTGGGGGGGTCTCTTCTCGTTCCGGTGTTCCCACGCGTCCGGTCGAGTCGAAAGGCCTCGATGGGGCGCGCACGGTGCGCAGGCCCGGCGCTTGGCCTTGGCTCATGGCGATTGGGAGAAGGCCCAGTGAGGGAGCTGGGCCAATGGAGAGAGGGTCGATCATGTCGTCGCTGAGACAAGGTTGTTGGAGACCAGCCAGGCCCATGGCCCTTTGAAAGGTGCTCAGCTGGGGCACTTGTCGCGGCTGCAGGGCTATGCCCCCACAGAGGCGCAGCTGAAGCCTTACCAGGCTGGTTTTTTTGCAGACTGGTGGTGCCGCTAGCCTTCGCAATAGATAGATGAACTACTGAACTGTGTGCTATTTTTGGGGGGTATTGACTCACATGCTCAAAGATTGCATGGAATGGCCCGGCCGTGTAGTAGATGGGTCTCGTGGTCTACTGGTATTGGTCAGCTGTGTTGACCTACGCTGCAGCTGGAGAGAAGGTATATATTTCTTGCAGATCCACGGTATTCTATGGTGAAGTGAAGAAGTATGTGAACATATGGGCATGCGTGTTTGAACGTTCAAGCGCACATGTGACTGCTTCCTGAAGGTCAGTGTTGAGAATATGAGGTTGTCGCCATCCAGTGAACTATAGAATTTATATAGTCTAGTCGTGAAGGGATGAAGAAGCTTTCGCAGTTGCGAGTGCTGTAGGTGGTAGGTGCTGATTTATGCTGAGCTCTATCAGGAGTCCGAGCGGATTTCCGCGGAGAACTTTGTGAAGTTCTGCGAAGAGGTCGGCTATGAGGAGAGGTCAGGCATGATTGGTCCATACTGCTCCCCGGCTCGCCGGCTCCTACGTACCGCGGCATGACACATGAAGCCAAGAGGGGTGACTGAGTGCCGCCAGACGTTAGGGATGGCTCAAGCCTTCGCCTCTACTGGCGGTTGAGCTAGGGACCAGAGGTGCCCAGAGGCCCTCAGGAAATGGACAAGGAAGAAGAGGAAATGGTTCCGACGTGTAAGACCAAGAGGGGACCAAGTGAAGCCCTCAGCATCTAGGCCACCGGAGCTGTTCTGAACTAGAGGGCTTACGATTTTTTCGCGCCGCGCCATGGACTGAAGCTCCCAGAAATGGGAAATGCATGTCCACACCGCGCCGGCGCCAAAGCGGAGGCCAGCATCACTGCTGCGGACGTAAGGGCGAATGGCTGGCTGGTCATTTTCGGGAAGGTCTACAATGTGAAGCTCTGGCCAAGCACTGGACGTGGGGGTGGCGTGGGGGTTTCACCGGGTGCGATCATTTGCCTGCCTTCATTCGTACTAGGAATCGCCCAGATCTAGACATTAGTGTGCTTGTGGCTCCTTGTGGCAACCTGCTTAACTAGTGTGTGTTTCTTGTGGAGGGCTGCTGGTGCGTTTGGCTGAGGAAAGATTACATGGTGAAGCATCCTGGGGGCCAGGACATCCTTCTCGGTGTGCTGGGTGGTGATGCCACAGTCGAGTGTTTTGGCCAGCAAGGCTGGTTGGTGCTGTTTGGGGCGAGAAGTGGGCCCATGTTCTCCGTGTCCTTAGACATCGTGTGCTTTGTAAAGCTCAAGCTCAAGAAGCTCAAGAAGTGCTACTTGCGCTCGGTTTCGTCCCATCAAAGTAGCTCCAACCATCCTCCGAAAAGGTGGTTTCGCTTCACATCCATCGCCCGTTCGAGACGCTGGCGGCGCTGCTTCGTCACCTCCGAGGTTCGAGACGATGCGGCACTCGCAGCTGGCGCAGAAGCAGCTGGAGCAGCTCTTCGTGGGGCGCTACGCAGCGCCCGCGGAGCCCGGTGAGAGCATGGCGGAGAGCCAGGCGCGAGAACGTGTCACGCTGCTGGGTGATGAAGGTGTGGGATGGAGGCTGGTAGTGTGGGTGAGCGTGGTGGGCCGGTGTGCTGTTGTGAATCATTGTGAAGAAAGCTGACCTGGGCCCCGAGAATCATAGGTCTTCTTCGGAAGTGTAATTGTGAACATTTTCAGCAGGGGGATGGAGAGGACATATGAGCTCCAGACTCCATACAATGAAGCTAAGTATGTGTAGAAGTTAGTTAGCTATACAGTTAGTGAGTGAGCCTAGCTGCCATATTGATTGTGTTTGTGTATAACTGTTTATAATATTAAATTACATACACGTTATTGTTTGTTTGTTTGTTTGTTTGTTTTTTTCTTTTTTTGTCTGTCTGTTTCGTTTTTGCCACATCTCCTAGATACGGTCCTGACTCCGCACAGCCGATCTTAGGCTGACTGGAGGGCGAGCCAGCTCCCGTGATGGGATTTCTGAAAGTGATCCCCAATGGTGGGACGTGAAGGGCCGTGGCTTCTTGCCAGCTGCAGACCCTGTGAAGGACGGGACAACGAGACTGGCGGGCTGTGGCGGGATGCTGGTTTTGGGATCAACCTTGATGGCATCAAGGTAGGGTGTAGGGATCAAGAGGCCATGATGTGGCAAGATCACATCATGCGAGATACCAGCTTCTCAAAAGATGTCGAGATATCTCTTTTGTTGGACCGTCCTACCCAGCAGGTCAGCTTCGCCCGTCTATTTGAATCACAAGTTGCCAAACGGTGGAAGTTGGTGATTGCGGTGAAGCTCTCAAGCCGGGCTATGTAGGAATGGCTTGCGCTACAAAGCCACTCATATATTATATTGGCACATATTCAAAAGTATAATTGAGGTCAACTTATTGAGCAAGCTTCTAGTTCTTTTGTCTTAGACTTCTACATCTCAACCGCCACGTTTTCTTCACTCCACTGGTTCTTTTGGTGAGGTGCAGTGCACTTCTCATGTGTCATCGGATGGGCAGCTCCGGTTCTCAGGAGCTGCCGAGGCCCTGGGACTGCTTGGGGCAACTCACTGAGTTCATCCCCAGCTTTGCCGCTCGGGAGCGAGGGATTTTCGCCACGGCTGCGGGATGGAGATGCCACGGGAAGATGGTGGTGTGTTTCACGCGGTCGTTTTTTTGTGGGTCTCAAGAAGGAAGGTATGGCCAGATGGCTTGCCATGGTGCATCATGTATACCCATTTATCCACTTTTGTGAATGAACTAACTAACCGCCCTCGTTTGGCTGATCCACGTGTAGGATTGGCATGCCAAGTGCAAAGCTAGCATCAATTATATATATATATATATTATATGCAAAATTATTGTCCCCCGTCACCACAATAACTTGTGGCCACTTTGACCCATTCGGAAAAAGGCTTCACCCAAGCTGAGTTGCTTGCCACTGTGTGGGTCAGATAGCATTCTTCAACTCTTTGTCCCACATCACCCACGCGTCGTCCATCGCATTCCGCGAGTCCTGGGATGTCGTGGCGCATGGTCCAGGCTGTTCAGGCCCGCTTCCGAGAGCTGGCGGAGACGGAGCTGAGGCCTCGGCTGCCGAGTTCCTACAAGGAGCGGCCCACGGGCGAGCGGCCGATTACCCTCAGCCATGCGGAAGGCAAATACAATGGAAGACAGAGACTCAAACAATGGAAGACGCATCCAACCAATTGACAGGTGGAAAATTGATCGTGCTCTCACCCACTCTGACTGCACTTCGGCCATAGGTCACCTCAACAACATCGGGCAATACCACATGTGGTTGCGCGAACTCAACCACTTGAAGAACTGCACAAAAACATGTAGATGGGTATTCAGATCAGTTCGGGCTTCGTCAGCAACAGCGGATTTGTCCCTTAGCACGTACCGGCAGTCCTGGTGTTCTTCTTGCTCCGAAGGTAAGTTGGGTGCCAGCTGTCCTGGTTCGAGGCGAAAACCGATGTCGATGTCCAACCAACTCGTTTCCCATCTGCTGGCGGAAGGGAGGAGGGCGCCCAACCCGTTGCCCAAGCGGACCGAACCGGAACGTGTGGAACGCTCCGCGGCATGGCCGGAACGCCCCTTTCGAGCCGAAGCGCGGATCGAAGGCATCCGGTCAGAAGCATCGAAGCCCAAGGTGGAATGGAAGGCAAAAGGATTCAAATGTACGATGTATCACTGTAAGCACGTTTGCAAATCTTGAGTACCACAAATCCAACTGTACAGATTTTTGTGTACCAAAGGAGTGTCCAGGTTGCGTGCTATACCTGGTGACTTCGTTAGTGTGAGTTTAGAGGGCATGTCAGATCCATTTGAACATGTTGAGCATGAAAGGCATGTGAACTCATCCGTGGCCATTTGATCGTCAGGGAGGGCTGTCGTACGACTTCGAGCCATGTGAGCGGAAAAGACTCGCAAGCACTTAGGTTGTGCATTGTGTTCACCACCGGACGGTGATTGTATTGGTTGTGTTGACATTGCTTGTTGACATTGGTTGTTGGTTGAGGGCGCAGGCCCATACATTGATTGGAGTTGCTACCAAGTTCAGTTAGGTTACCTCTTTGATAGAAGCAGAAGGTCGTCCTCGTCATTCCATCTTCCAGTCCGACGAAGAAATGGGTCAGAACAATCCAAATATGTGCGCCAAGTGCGAAGACCTCGCCCTGGGAACTACTTTGGTCAGAGCGGAGCCAACGACCTGTGTGCCTGAGCCCCCCAGGACAACCGCAGAAGAGAACATGGTAATTTGTGAAGCCTCTCAGTAAAAACCTGTTTGGTGTCCGAGACATCAGGAATTTTTACAGGTGGCCAGTCATTAGCAAGCTCCATCTTGCACTTTCAACCTTCGCAATCAGTGGGCCAGATGCCGGACTTCCAAGATGCATTTGGCTTCACTGGGTCTCAAACAGCGATTGGTGCATATCACACCAGTCTTGCAAATGCACGCACTCAAACACTCTGTGATGTTTGGTTTTTGTCCCACCACATAAGCGCAAAACTCATCACCAATGGTTCGAGCATACTTCACAAGTGACTCTTGGTGACGTTATTCCCAATAGCCAACGCAACAAGGGAACCTTGATCGCGGGCGTTGAACGGACCAAGACTCTTCCGGAAAGCACCTGAACCGGCGAGAATATCGAAGCCCTTCCAATGGGAGACACGGCCTGCCACTTCACAACTCTACACAAGAAGCAATGTCTGCACAGTCATAGAACTTTGCAGCCCAACGTGCTTTGATCTGTTTGGCCAGGAGACTCGGCAGGCCATTGCAAGTCTCAGCGACGGAGAGCTTGAAGCCCTCCACTCGATCTTGGGATACGTCTGCTTGGCCTATGTTCATGCACCTCCTGAGATCTATGAGCAGGATGCAGAGAATTTGGTGCCTTGGGGAGCTGTGTTTCGTTGCCGAGGATAGTCGCCGAGGCTGAGCCCGTTCGACTTCAAAACAAGTTTGCACAAAGAGCTTGATAACTTGATAAGAGCCAAGAGCAGCCTTGGCCGAGATGCCCATTTGGCTAGAGAAAGATATCAGACGACTCTAATATGGAAAACTGAGTTCAGTTCTATCACCTGTCAGTGTTGGTACGGGTTCGTCGTTGACGAAAGGTCAACCGTCTGCTTCAACCATGGCTGACGAAAGGTGGAGTTAGTTCGTGCCCTTAGGGGTTTCACCAAACAGGGTGGGCTGGTGGAACTTAGGCCCAAACATGCCCAAACGTTTATTTTTTCCCCAAACAGTTTACTGTTAGGGGTTCTCAATGCTTTAAAGAATGGTCGCCTTGGTGCTGGATGGCCTGGTCGGGTTCCCGGCCGGCTTGTCTCCCACTTCCTTTCATTTGTCTCCCAGTTCTTTTCATTTGTCTCCCAGTTCTTTTCATTTGTCTCCCACACTGGTGCTTGTGGTCGGGTTCTGGCTGGCTTGTTTCCCCAACTTCCTTTCATTTGTCTCCCACTTCTTTTCACTTGTG